AAAATATTTTGTCAATTTTTGTTTTAAAGTTTTATTTTAACAATTAATTAACATCAAAATACACCCCATAAATTATGGGTTTTTTTTTCAGAAAAATGTTTTTATTAAGATTAAATAAGTGTATTAGATTTAACGAATATTCTTGTGATTCCCAGGATTTACTCGTAACAGAAGAATAATGACAATTTGAAAATATGATAAGAATAATCTTATTATGAAGAAGCCAAAACCTGTTCTTATAGAAGAAGTTTTACAAAACTGTTCATTATTTCAAATTCCCCGGTTGTACGTGACAAGGAGTAGGGTCGCAAGACGAATTATTGAAATAAAATTAAACCATACGTTAGTCCCGAAATGACCTGGTTTGTGTCGAGTGGACGTTAAACCCATCTCTCTCTCTCTCTCTCTGTCTCTCTCATAATTTCAAGATAGTAAGCACAATAACCGTGTTCATCAATTATTTGTCTATTTCATTTAACAAAATTTAAATACACAAAGTTCATCATATTTTCATCCCACAGAAACACCAAAGCACAGATGAACAGTGTTCATTAATTAATTGTCCATTTAACTTTCAATTGCAACTAAAGCACGGTACTGCTTAGTGGTATTTTGAAATGTTAGAAAAAAAAAATTTAAATAGAAAATATCTTGGTCAAATTATATTTGAATATTTGTGAAAAAATATATTTTTACCTACTTTCCACAAAAGGGATTTTTACTGGGTTGATTATTCCCGCTGGTATTTTTATTTATTTTTTTTAGTGTTTTATATTTTTTTTTTGGGGGGGGGGGGAGATTTTTATCATTTTTTTTTTGGGGGGGGAGGGGGAAACAGTGGGATTTTTACCGGGTGGGGGTGGGGGTCGGGGTGCTATGATATTTACTGGGAGGATTGTTACTGTACTGTGGGGGGGGATTTTTACCTACATTCGAATAGTGCACATTTGTTCCATCGTCATCAGCACGGCGGGTGAAGAAAGGTTTAACGTTAAAGACCATCGTGAACTAAACATTATCAGTACTTGGGTGCTGTGTGTTGTGCAAGGGTAGAGTATGCTTACTCTTTTAAATACACGTCTTGCATTCAGAAGATGTGAACATAACATTACTATGGTTATAGACCACAACATATACCTCTCACTGAATACTTTTGTCTTCCACCAACCAATCGGAAGTTGTCGGTATGTGTGAACTTCTTCTTTGGAGTATTCTTTCCTAGAGAGAGAGAGAGAGAGAGACAGACAGAGAGAGAGAGGGGGAAGGGAGAGATGGGGTTTAACGTCCACTCGACACAAACTAGGTCATTTCGAGACTAATATATGGTTTAATTTCATTTCGATAAATCGCATGCGCGTAGGGGTCTTTAGCAGTGGGAGGAAACAGGAGGACCCGGAGAAAACCCACAAGGTTGGTCAGGCGACCCTACTCCCTGTCACGTACAACCGGTGATTTGAAACCACGCCAGTTGACTCAATGACAGGCTTTATGACACAGCGCGTATGTGCTAACCATTCGGCCATCCAATTAATAGCTATGATAAAAAGTCTTGTTGCATGATTTGTTCATTCCTTAGATAAAGTTAGTATTCTAGAATTAAACATCTTGTATGCATGTTTGAAGGAGAACTGTCTAAGGCAATTATTGAAATTAAAGTCATAACATCTTGTCATGCATGTCTCGGGTTATTTAGCCGGTTGCAGCCTCTTTCCCAATTATACATTAACCCGAATAGTCTGTAGTGCTTCCGTAAACAAAATTATACAAGTGAACTCGTGCTTATGATACAGCGTTCACTTGTACTAATGCAAATTCTTGCCAGATAGTATGCTTGTTATTATTACTGTAAATGTTTAGTATATATATATATATATACTATTCAAAAAAAGTAGGGGATATTTGATTTTTAAGTGTTATTAAAGTCACCTAATGAAACTGACGAAGAAACAAATGACAAAATGAAATGAAGTTCACATTCATCGATTTATTCCAAATGATCGTTAGACTAAGTAAGGCACAGACTGACCATTATAAGGGTAAAATGATACCCGGGGTCAAACAGCAAAGTTACCACAGCATCACAACCAAGTCAGTAACGGGTAAATCCTCCTCTGTTTGCCAAACAAGCATTGATCCGACGTGGCATACTCCTAATGAGACGTCTAAGGTCATTTTGGTCCAGATTGTCCCATTCCTGTTGCAACGCAGCAGCAAGTTCTTGGACATTGGCAGGACGTTGTTGACGTTGACGTAACCTCTGTCCAAGCATGTCCCAGACATGCTCGATGGGGGAGAGGTCGGGACTCAGTGCTGGCCAAGGTAATGTGGTGATGTTCTGTTGTTGGAGGTAACCTGTAACGATCCTGGCCCTGTGACATCTTGCGTTGTCATCCTGGAAGATGAAACGGCGGCCATGACGTCGTGCGAACGGCACAACATGGACTGCCAAGATGTTGTCCCGGTAGTACTGGCCTGTAACACGCCCTGCAACAACATGTAAAGCCGTTCTTCCAGCAACAGTGATGCCTCCCCACACCATAACAGAACCACCCCCAAATCGATCATGTCTGATGACGTTAACGTCTTGGAAGCGCTCGTTTCGACAACGCCACACCCTCCTACGTCTGTCCAAAAAATCAACAGTGAACCTTGACTCATCTGAAAACATCACATTGCTCCAGCGTCGATTATCCCAGTGTTGACGATCCCTACACCAACGACGTCTTGCCTGAATGTGATGATCTCTCAAACAAGGGATCACGCGAGGACGTCGGGCGCGAAGGTGACCCCTATGCAGTCGATTCCGAATCGTCTGGCCACTCACTCTCACACCAGTGTCTGTTTGAAGACGATCGCTGATCTGATTTGCTGTGATGACACGATTTCTCAAGGCCAAGGTACGGATAAATCGATCCTGGGCTTGAGTTGTCGCCCTTGGTCGACCTGAGCGTGGTCTGTCCTGTACAGATTGTGTATCACGGTATCTGGACCATAGCCTGCTTATGACAGACTGAGAAACATTCATCGTCCGCGCCACAACCGCCTGTGTTGTGCCGATCTGTAGCATGCCAAGGGCACGTAACCTTTCATTTTGGGTAAGCCGACGCATATCAAAATTTGTTTTCTGGTCACTAAAACAATTAAACTGATGTTTCCACCCTGGAATTCAATGCCACAATGACTGTAACATTCAAAGTCAGAGTCGTGCAAATCTTGGGTTGGACCCCCATGATGATCCCAAGCATCACCTGCATTCCATGCGGTAGCTATTGGTGCGTTTGGGCGTCACATGTAACTGGAAATGTTTCTTCTGTTAGGTTCTATAGTGACTTTTTTCGTAGTCATTTGCATATTTTAGTATTATGCCCCCAAAATCAAATATCCCCTACTTTTTTTGAATAGTATATATAGAAAGTGGTTATAAATTATAGAGTGATTATTAATTTGCAGGTGTGTAACTAGCTGTAAAAGCGTGACTAATTATAATACCCACCTGTATTGAATACACAAACCTAACCAATAGTCGTGTTTATCATTTAATAGTCACAGTCTTTTAAAACGCCTTTGTGACATCATAACGCCTACTTAATAACCACCTTCTGATTACTAATAATTTTAACTGACTAGGAAACTTTATGCACACAAACTGGCGACTTATATCTTTTTGTGACCGAGGTTTTTATTAGTTAAGTCTTTTGAAAGAGATCTTGACAGCTTTATCTGTCGGCATTACCCATTACTCATTATCTATTACCCATTATATATTACTCATTTACCTTATAGTCATTACCCATCACCTGTTACTTATTACCCTATACTCATTATCTATTACCCAGTATATATGACCCATTACCCGTTACTCATTATCCATTACCCATTATATATGACTCATTACATATTACTCATCTATTACACATTATCTATTACTCATTATATATATCTCATTTTCCCTGGGGATCACGTGGCTAAGTGGGTAAGACGGTGGCTCGCTAGCCTGGAGGTCGGGTGTTCGATCCCTGCATTGGCCGAGAAAGTTCAACCAGATTTTCCGGCGTGGTTCCCCCTTGTCAGTGATGCAGGACGGAGGGCCTGACAAGGACAGCTGTCTAGTCCTTCGGATGAGACGAAAAACCGAGGTCCCGTGTATACATAAGAATGCACGTAAAAGATCACTTGGCAGTTGGAATTCGATATAAGAGTAGGCGATAGTGCCGCTGCCCGGGCAAAATTTCCCTCATAGCACACTGTATGGCGTATGCCCGTCTTCAATAGCCCAGCATAGGAGCAGAACAGTAGGACGTTAAACCCCATTTCATTTCATTTTCATTTTCCCTATAGTCATTACCCATTACTCATTACCCTATACTCATTTACTCATTACCCTATACTCATTTATTCATTATATATTATTCATTTACTCATTATATATTACTCATTTACTCATTATATATTACTCATTTACCCATTATATATTACTCATTTACCCATTATATATTACTCATTTACCCATTATACATTCCCTATTACCCATTATATATTACCCATTACCCTATACCCATTATATATTACTCATTACCCTATACTCATTATCTATTACTCATTACCCTATACTCATTATCTATTACTCATTACCCTATACTCATAATATATTACTCATTACCCTATACTCATTATATATTACTCATTACCCTATACTCATTATCTATTACTCATTACCCTATACTCATTATCTATTACTCACAACCCATTATAATCTGATGATTCACTATCAAACAATATGTGTGTTTTAATGATAAAGGAAAGAGCTGCTCACAAAAACGGATCTATGACCAGCGGCCGCAAATGGAAGGACTGCAAAATCATACTCTTATATACAGCAAGACGTTTTGGCTTATCCTAGTTTTTGTCTGCGTTATCACATTTCTGGAAGCAGCCGTTACACAGCCAGTGTGCTACTACATAATACTCATTGATCAATATTGTTTTGTTTCTTTTTGCAGGGTTTTCTGAGAAAAAGCCACATCGTTTCTTCGACAAAACATCACATGGATTTAATTACCCTTGAGAACCTATCAAAGATGGAGGTTGAAAATATGACAAACATATCCGGTACAAAACAATCAGTGCCGTCAAGTGCTGCGGATCTACCGGAAGTGATATGTTTCAGTTTTTTATTTTTTGTCATTGGTATAATTGGCATTGTGGGTAATTGTTTAGTGATGTACGCAGTGATGCACGATAAAAAGATGCGAGCCTCGGCTACGAATTTACTTATAACGAACCTGGCTTTTGCTGATATTCTCATCATGGTATTCGGAGTACCGGAAATAATACAATTTATGTTAAATAAAGGTTGGATATTGGATGTCATCTCGTGTAAAGCTAATCGTTATGTATTGGTTACCAGTCTGTATGCTTCAGTTTTAACATTGGTGGCTATTTGTATTGAAAGGTAAGTCGATGCCATCTATACTATATATTATATGTATAAAATAAAAGTAGGCCGTAGCGACCCTATCCTGGCAAAATTCTCCTCATAGCACACTGCATGGCATATGTCCATCTTCATTAGCCCAGAAAAGTAGGACGTTAAACTCCCATTTCATTTCACATCTCCCTGTCTTTATCTCGCTCTAGGGGTTTAGGTGACTGAATGGTTAGCGCGTGTGCGCTGTATCATAAGGTCAGTCATTGAGTCAACTGGCGGGGTTTTGATTCCACGGTTGTACATGACCAGGAATATGGACGCTTGTCCAACCTCGTGGGTTTTCTCCGGGTCCTCCGTTTTCCTCCCACTCCTAAATAACCTTACGCGCAAGCGAATTATTGAAATAAAATTAAAACCATATGTTAGTCCCGAAATGACCTAGTTTGTGTCGAGTGGACGTTAAACCCCATCTCTCTCCCTCTCTCTCTCTCTCTCTCTCTCTCTCTCTCTCACGAACTTGTTTAACACAAAGATTGATAATTGTTATTTATTCAATTTCCGTCACCTCTAGACAGCGTTAATGATATAATCCTGTCTAATACCAGAACAAATGATCTTATATGAATCAACACAGGGAAGTCGTTTCTAGGAGGCAGGGCTAAATCGTCTGCCAGGATAACAACACTACACTGCGTTTGACAGTGTGAAGTTATGGAATCGTACACAAGCGGAATGTTATTTGCCGCAATATAAAGAGTGTGATTAATAAAACATATCCTTCCTAAAACAAACACACCAGAATATCTCAAAACGTTTATGAACTTGATTTTTCTATTGTCCAAAAAAAAAAGGAATGAAATGAGGTTTACAGTCTTACTGTTCTGACCCGACTGAGCTAATGAAGACGGGCACACGCCATAATAGTGTGCAATAAATGAAGTTTTGCCCGGGTAGCGGTACTATGGCCTACTCATATTGAAATCAAACTGCCAAGGCATCTTTTACGTGCACACAAATGTATAAACGGGACCTCAGTTTTCGTTCCATCCGTAGGACTAGGCAGCTGCCCTTATCGGGCTCTCCATCCTGCGCCACTGACAAGGGGGAACTCCAACCTCGTGGGTTTTCTCCAGGTCCTCCGGTTTCCTCCCACTGCTAAAGACCCCTACGCGCAAGCGAATTATTGAAATAAAATTAAAACCATATGTTAGTCCCGAAATGACCTAGTTTGTGTCGAGTGGACGTTAAACCCCATTTCTCTCTCACTCACAAGGCGGAACTACGTAGTAAAGTCTCAATGAACTCTCTCGGCCAATGCAGGGACCGAACACTCGAGCCAGCGTCATATCCACTTAGTCACCACATATTCCTGAAGCAATGGCCCGAGAAATCCCTCTCTGGCCATTGCTGGATTGGCTTCTAATACTTGAGCTTTTGAGGGAGAGTGTCTATTCTTTTCGTTCAATCAAATCTATCCCAAGTACTTCAACATGACAGCCCTTCGTTTAATCTGGTGTCTCCCCTAAAACTTTGGACAGTGATTTAAGCTATTACAAACGGTAAAAGAATTGTTCGTCTCCAAACTGTATTGTTTACATTGTATCTGTATTGATAGCCTCGTTTGTCACGCAATTAGTTTTTCTGCAATATTCTGCTATGCAATGGTTAATTGGGAATAATAAAATCGCGAGTCATGATGTAACATTATGTAAACATATTTGGTCCAATTTGGAGCTCTGTTTAAAGCGTAATGATATTGTTACGCAGTTAGCTATTGATTGTTAATCGTACTATTGAGCAGTCATAATTTGCAACAGATATTTGCTTCCATTACAGCAGTGTTAAGTGGGATTCGCTCTAATCAAACAAAACACAGTATGTCGGACTGTGGCCTCCTTAATTATCAAAAAATTCCCACAGATAAATAATGTCTACAGCAACCATCACTGAATCGTGAAATTACAAAAAAAATTTTTTTTCTCATTCTCTGTCTTATAACATTAGAACCATTGACTCATTAAATTATTTTTTTATCCAGATGTAAATCAAACACCTTTCTTTACTCTACTAATGCTTAAAAAATATCTTCTAGATTTAATTTGCATACATTATGCAAGAGCTAAATCTACCTATTGCAGGTCTTTCTTTAGGCCTGTAATGTTTTCGAAAGTATTAATTAGACATTAATTAATTTATCCAGGCCATAATCAACTCTCGATGGCATCGGATTCCTCCTATATTAAAGAAATTAGAACAGTTCAACCATATTTTGATTTAATCTAAAAAAAATTGAAGAGCGAGATTTAGTTTCGAACAACCACTACGGTGGCTGAAGTATTGCACACGTCTTGTCAAACCTCCAAAGGCTAATATCTTCGCTCGCAATAGAGTAATTTAAATGAAATTTTCAAATTATTCATTTTACATTTTAGCTCTTTATCTAAATCTTACATAATGTATCTTTAATATTGGGCGGTCATTACGTCGCACCGATGTCATCTATGTCAGTGATTGTAGCGTCCAAGCGAATATTCACTGCTGATCAGTTTGCTAAACACTTTCCTGTTTAAAGAGGGGCTTACCATAGTTCAATAGAGAAAACTTGAAAACGCGCAAAATAAATAGTTTAATAGAGGCCGTAACCCCGCTGTCCGGACGTAATTGCCCTCATTGCACACTGCATGACGTATGTTCGTCTTCATTAGTCCAATCGGAGCAGAACAGTGGGACGTTAAACCCCATTTCATTTCATTGTCATTGATAATTAAAGTCTAGTAGATGTGATTAATAAACGAATCCGTCTACTTTTAGATATTATTAATCGTTGATTCTGTGTTCATTTTTATCAGCATTATTAGTGTGAGTAATGTACGGAAATTGCGTCAAATCTTATACTTATTCAAATGCGTGTCTAGGAATTTGAGCAGCGGGTGTCCAAGGAAGAGACAATGACAGTTATGGCGTCATAACTCTGAGTGGGGCGGGCGCGGGGGGGGGGGTGTCTTTCAGACAATATTCCTACTGATTTAGGTACTTACATGTTTAGGATTGCCGTGAGTCAAAACGACGTTACTCCTATGTAAGTAGGAGAGATAAATATTAGTGTGTGGGGGGGGGGCAAGGGGTCCGGACCCTCTAACCCTTCGCTCCCCGGCTGGACACGCGTCTGTTATTTTAATGAGTTATTGTGGTATTCTGCGTCCGTCTCACCACACATGGATTACAGCAAATTACTTGTTAATGGAGGTCTGTACAACCTATTTGTCATGCTGCCTTTTTAATGGCTTGGGGTATAATTACTAACTATACTTTCTACAGATTCTATCAAATCATGGTGTTATATTTAGAACAGGTGGTAATGAATATTCCAAATTCTAAACGGCTAGCTTTTATTTATGACCATTGCTGGATTTTCAATGTGGGGGTTATTTTCCTTTTTTGCTCGAATGTCAATTTGACACGAAAAATATTAAACATACATTATGCAAGAGCTAAATCTGTCTATTGCAGGTCTTGCTTTAGGCCTGAAATGTTATCTAAATTATTAATTAGACATTAATTTACCTATCCAGACCATAATTAACTCTAGATGGCATCGCTAGCCTGCGATCTTTTGTGGATTATGAACCGATTTACTGCATAACTTTCCTTCACGATTTAACGATTAAATTGATAATCGAGACTATGCTGTTTATCGTACTGACTTTAGTAATGATGATCGAGGCTAGGCGGAAATTTCAATCGCTTAGTTCTCGGTACATAGTGGATCAATTTGAATGAAATTTTCAGCAAATTGCCTTTACATTATCTAGTGTTTAACTATTAAAGTGAGAACTGCCAACTCGTTATCGAATCTCCAATAATTTATCTTTAAATAACTACGAACTATTCCTGAAATTTGACGTGTCATGTTCGTATTATACTTATATCACGAAATCGGGTGTTTGGATGGCCGAATGGTTAGCGTGTGCGTGCTGCTTCATAAGGTCTGTCATTGAATCAACTGGCGTGGTTTAAATTTACCGGTTGTACGTCACAAGGAGTAGTATCGCCTGTCCAAACTCGTGGGTTTTCTCTGGGTCCTCCGGTTCGGTTTCCTCCCACTGCTAAATACCCCTATGCACAAGCGAATTATTGAAATAAATTGAACATTATCGTATTCTCTCTATCACGAAATTGCTAAGTTGTCAACGATATATTGATACAGTCGGAAGCCAAGGCCCTTGTCAGTTGTGGCAACACCGGTGGGCTGGCGGACTAGGCAGGAAAACGTCCAACAGTTTGGACTAAACACTAAAAACAAAATTGATACGCGGTTACATACAGGGGCGCATTAGGTAGATCTGGGCGCTCGCGACCCATCGCGGTAAAGAATACGTGACAGAATCGTTCTATCATTAACAGCTGACGCCTAGATATGTTTCACAGTGATCCACAAGAACCTTAACTATAGACAACTATAGCATATATTCGATATATTTTGGCATTTGTAGAATGATTTTATATCAATGTTTTCTTATTAGCTGTCATAATATAGCTGAGCTTCTGGAAGGGAAGTAAACCATACCGAAATGGGGGGGGGGGACTGTTAACATTTCAGCTTGCTAGCTCAGGTAGAATTGTATATCAGAGGCTGTGATAAGCATAAAAGGGCATTCTTCAATGGAAACCGACCTATTTGGAGCGTGTGTTTTTTCTCACTCAAATGAATTTGCTTGCATTTCATTTTGGCTGAAGCTATGAACCTGACATTTGCAGGGTCACTTTGTGTAATTTGTGGGCAGGTGGTTGGCAAATTTCATGTTCATAGCTTCAGCCAAAATGAGATGCAGCCCTCCTTAGTTGAGTGACACAAATCCGCTCATCACGTCATATTCGACTGAAATAAGCCTGTTGTTTGACTTAACAAACAGCCCTTCCGTGGAACTATTGTCTTGAGCTTTTACTGTACCTTTGTACTTTCCACAGCAAGGTTATATGCCAATTTTAGGCTGCTAGCATGCAACAATAAAGAAATGCAACCC